AGCATTATTTGCTTCTATGCATTGTCATCATGGAAAATGTGTTCCCAAAGTAAGCAAAACTTTAAAACCTGTTTTCTCAAAATTTGACACTCGAAACCCTGTTCGCTTTAAAATGCTATAACTTTTCACAGAATGCTCCAATTGCTTTCAAATAAAGTGCAAAATGCTCGGAAAAGATGTGTCTTTTAAAATATGCAAAAAAGTTCATTTTGAATTTTTGCACCTTGCGAAGGGTTTTCTCAGAGCCACACACATTTGGTGGGCGACAGGATGAGTTCTCCACCCAATCAATCATGTTAGAGGATTCATTCTTCACTATATGTTCGCTCACCTTAAAGGATGAATTCTTTGCTCACTCAGCAATGTTAGAGGATGAATTTTTGTCTAACCCAACCATGTTAGAGGATGACTTCTCTACCCACCCAACCATGTTAGAGGATGGATACTTCTCTCACCCTATATGTTAAAGAATGATTTCTCTACCCAACCATGTTAAATGGTGAATTCTTCCCCGATCCAAACATGTTGAAGGATGGATTCTTCACTCGACCTACCATGTTAAAGGATGAAATCTTCACTTACCCAACCATGTTTGAGGTTCGACTAGAGGCTCTGGATCCTGTCCTTGCACTTCCCATGACTGAGTGGGTCAGCTCCCTCTGCCTGCTGAGAACATGAGATGAACATTTTGGGGTTTCTTTTCAGACTCCACTGTACTTCTCTTAGTTTAGTTTGCATAAAGAGATGCACATCAATACAATAACGACCACATACTGCTGGAAAGAAGTTACAAAGACAGGTGGGGAAAAAAGAGGAAGAAAGAAAAGAAGTAAGACCTACTTGTCGCACCCTCTAACTACCTGTTAATTGCTCTTTTCCTAAAAGAAATACACACACACACACACACACACACACACACACACACACACACTCACACACACACACACACACACACACAAAACAAGAGGAAGTCATCCCAAACCTGCTTGTCAATGTTTCAGTGTCTGAAGCCGTTGGGGGACGACTGTCGACTGTCGCAATGACCATGGGCTGAGGGCTAAATGTCACTTCACCACCAGCCCCATGGTTCTGCGAGTGCTAGGAGATAGGAAAATCACAAAGAACAATGAATTTATATGAAGAAAAGAAGCAAAAAAGTGCTATAAATTATGGCAAACAACAAGAGTTTTGAGGAAAATAGACACAAATGTTTAACAAATGTACCAGAATAAAGTAAAAAGTTGCTTTTGCCATGGACAAGGCTAGGATCCTCTTCTGCATGAAGACACTCTGATGAAAAAAGATTTCTTGCGATGTTCTAAATATCACATACCAGACACCACAGCTTCTCACAGAATGAGGCTGAAGATAAAAAAAAACTACCATGAAAAGACAAGTAGAGATCATGAAAAGACAAGTAGAGATCATGAAAAGACTAGTAGAGATCAAACTAGAGCTGAAATTGTCCAAGATGGTTACCCATTGTTTGAGGAGAGAAGTTGTTGTTCTACAAAAGTGGATGTCTTGGACGGTGTCATTATAAAAAAAAAAAAAGTAATCACAAAATAAAGGGGGATAAGGGAAGCGGTTGTTTGCACAGGTGATAGTCATGGACAGGTGGCTGTTTATGCAGGTTTGACTGTTTAAGTATCTAACTTGTTGCTACCTTGTCTGCATTTCAGTGGACAGACACATGGTTGGCCACTGAACTCACTGGGAAGTTGAAGAATATTTCAGTGACAAGGAAAGCAAAATGATGTTATTACATTGACCACAACTTTACAATGGAACATAATGGAGCTTTCTTTTTTTAAAATTTTGTTTTGTTACTTTTTTGGCTTTTGGACATTTGGCAAGCTGCTCTGATGGTAACACGTTAGGCTATGATACATATGACCTTGGTCTGAATCTTTCCAAGGGAAGTCTTTAAACTTGGGAATTCTGGGAGTTTTTAAAGCCTCCTGACCTACTCAGCCTCGTCTCATCTATGATGGACGCCAAGTCTCTTCCACAACCCAACTGTGTTGAAAGCGGGTAATAAATAAACACCCCACTACCATATTAATTAGTTGTTTTTTTTGCTTTTGGGAGCGGAGAGTAATTTTCTTTACAATTCTCATAACCATGAGTCCGTTTTAAAAACGATTTTCCTCACCACCATGCGTATATGCTGCAGTTCCAGTTCCAACATCTTGACTTGAGCCTCTTTCTGAGCCGCGATGGCCTTGAGCTGCTCCACGATGTTGCTGTCCTGCTGGCTCTTCATTGACATCTGGTGCAGCTGCTGTTGCTGTTGCATTTGCTGTTGTGCCTGCTGCTGGTTATGCTGTTCGAGCAATGTCTTCAGCTGACTTTGTTGTTTCTGCCATAGGAAAAGACATGGACTTAGTAGAGTTATTGTCCAAGTTCAAAATGCCACTGTGCAACCATGATGGGGAACCTCGTAAAATGTTTGAGTCTGCACAATGACCCGCAAAAGGAAAAGACAGCAACAAACAGCAAGTGCAAAAAAAACCAAAACATTTTTTAATGGGACAAACTGAACGAAAGAATAAAGTTTTCTCAATTCCATCTTTGTCAATGAGAATGATGTACAGAAAGGTGGATAGGAATAAAATAATGTCAAGAAGTTAGCTCAACATAGGGTAAAGTCAAAAGTATTTGTCAATAGCCCATACCCTGATCCTGGATGACAAAGGTAATGATGATGATGAATTTCATTTTCTCTAGAAATTCAAGGAAAAAAAAAAGGCACCCTTGTCAAACATTACAGTAACTGTTTTCAAAAATAGTTTTTGGCCTAGCAATTGTAATGGATGACATACTTGTCATCCTCACCTCAGAAATGCTAATCGGATTTGAGCACGAATGTGAATATTCTTATTATCATATATCTTTTCAAGTTTATTTTCACCATTCAGAATTTGAATTTTGGTTTTGAGTGTCTGCAACTGATACTATAGATCCCCCCCCCCCCCTAAAAACCCCCACCAAACCCAAACAAACATTTGGCATAATATATCTGATAAGCCAGCCGAAAATAAAATGAATGTAACTTAACTTCTACATTATCTTAAATTCTAACTTAGTTTATGTATGACAAATAGGTAAAATAAGCATTAGAATGTTCAGTATGTTCAAGTAAATTCCAGACTTTGAACAAACGATGAAAGAGTATACTAGTCGGCACAGAACTAAGAACAATTTGACCTTTTCAAATTTTACAGTGAAGACAAACGGTCATCTTTTTACATCAAAGGCTTTGTGACCTATAGTCCTCTTTTTCATTGACATGATTATTTACATGTTGCTCTGATAAATTCTGCACTTCAATGTCAACAACTAGCCGCCTGCTAATAATGCTCTACTTGATTACGGATCACAGAACTGACTCAGTACATACTAAAGATACCCTGGTAAGCACTATGCTCTACAACTCATGATATATATGTACTGACATAATCACACACTTTACATACCATCAGTGCCTCAATGAATTCATCATCATTTCTGCTCTTCTTCAGTAATGTCTGAACTTGTGACTTTTGTCCCTTGATTTCATTAGACAGCACCTTGTTCCTGTGGAGAATAGTTCTGTTCTGTAACAAGTGGCTGTGTTTCATAATTGATGAGTATGTGAGTGTGTGGATATGCGTGTGTGTGTGTGTGTGTGTGTGTGTGTGTGTGTAAGCGTTTGTGGGAGAGGGGGAGACAGAGAAGGAGAGAGAGGGAGAGGGAGGGAGAGGGAGAGAAAGAGATGTAGAGAGAGAGAGAGAGATGTAGAGAGAGAAAGACGTAGAGAGAGAGGGTCTTTTCGATACTAGCAAACCCATTAGGGAGTAAACATTTTTTTTCTATAAAACTCACGCTCGAACAAAAACGATCCTACTTATTACTTAAGTCCTTAAATTTGTTTCGGATAAAGCGATGAGCAAATAATGATGTTCAAATTTTTTAAAAAGCAGGAGCCAAAGCCAGGATGTTGTTACCTCGTCTTTGCAGCATCAAGTTTCTGTTTCACACTTTCATGCTCTGACTCTAGACTTTTAAGCTTTTCTGTGGCATTCTGAGGATGGAAAAATAAGTTGCAAGTTCTGGAAGTTTATAAGATGTAACTGTTCACTTGCTGCTTATGAGTAAGGAATAACAGAAAAAAATAAATGATTTAGTAGTGACCACAAAAGGGAAAGGGACTGAAAGAGACAGAGAAGTGTTCTTTAAAAATTCAGAGCACATCTTGGGTGGTCCAACAACCTAGTCATGAAATTAGTGAAAACATTTGAGTTAATAGATAAAGTTCCCAGAATCCTTGATAATATCCAGGGCTATTCTGATAGTATTTTAAGACACCAACATGGTATGGAAACATTAAAGATACAAACAAAAACTGTATGCCCCTCCTATGTCAGCAAATCAAAATTTTCAGAGAGCATTTCATGGACCGACTCTCTGCTGTCAGTGAAAAACCTGGACCCTCAACAGTGTGCAGAGAAGTGAAGTATGTGAAACATAGAAATAGACAAACAAAGAAAAAACATGGACTGGCCATGTCATGAGAATGGGGCTACAACAGCCAGCCTGAAAGGTCTATAATATACGATTCAATGATTTCAAGAAAAAGAGAAGACCAAGAAAAAGATGGATTGATGGAGTCAAAGAGACCCTTCAAAGGCACAATATGGCATCTAAAAAGCAACACACCTAGCCCATGTTCAACAAGTGCATCTCCCCTCAACACCTTTTGATATAAGATGACAGAAAAAGTAACAGAGAAAAAATAAGTAAAGTACAGTATTTTGTGGCCGGATGTCTAAAATCAAGCTGAAAAAGATAAAAACAAAACTTTTCTGACTGTAGAATTACAAGTTTAAAGTAGTAATATAAAGCACAGATCACACACATATCTTTTGATTGTGCTCTGATGCTTCAAAAGTATATATATAGAGAAAAATGTGTATCTGTTTGGGTGTTGAAAGTATGTGGTGTGTTTTACATGTGTGAACTTGTGTCGCAAAAGATGGAGAAGCCCACTACCAATTTCCTTCAAAGGATGACTCGTAATGAATAACTTATTTTGTCTGAACAAAAGGAAATAGCGGATCCAGTGAGGACCCCGTAGGAAGAATTGACACCCCACTAAAGATCACATAGGAGCAAAAGAAGAAATTATAGTTCTCCAAAATTTGCTGTTTTCTTTATTGTCTTGAAAAGTGAAGGATCTCAAACATTCCACCCCCCAAAAAACAACTTAACTTCAACAACTTCAAGATTAACAAATCATAAAAAATTAGGCTTCCATGTCACAATTAATATGTATGCAATGACTAACATTATCATGCACACCTTTCGATACTTATCAGAAGGCAGCAATTTGAAAGGAATGGGCAAGGGACAAAAAAAAGGAGCAAGAAACAGGAAGGTATGGAGAAAGCTGGTCTGACAAAAACTTGAAACTCATCTGAGGGTGGCAAAACAGCCAAGAATGTTTATGTGTACACACAAGACTTACTTCTTGTGCCTCCTTTCTCTCTCTTTCCATCCTCCTAAGTTCATCTCTGTATTTTTCCTCTTTCCGTCTCCTAGAAGAGGAAAGTTTATCACCAAGACCTGCACTGCCAGGTGTCCCACTTTCTGACTCCAGCTGAACTTTTAACTCATCCACCTGCCACAGGTTAAAGCATACTCATCACTTGCTCATGCATAATTTATCACTTGCTCATGCATAAATGTATCTCATTTTACATTCCTTTGCCTTGTGTTTTCTTAAAAATCAACCAAAACATTTTTCTCCTGAAAAAGTGTTGCGATCTTGGACAATTTTGGCAGAAATAGCAAAAAACGTAAAAAACCTCAAGGATTACAAAAGGACAGCACATTACTTGAACTGAAAATTTAAGCAAACAAGTGTTAGGAAAAAATGTCAAAATGACAAAAGATCTGTACAAATTTTTGACAGGAAAGGACAAGTTTATTCCATAATTCTAAAGTTTTGATGAGGAGACAGTACTCTAAATAACCCCCCCCCCCCCCCCCCCAAATCACCATCAACCTGCCTCTTCTGTTCCCCCTGTCCCAGTCTGAAAGTCCTTCTCTTAACTCAACTACCCCGAGAGGATGATGCGAGTGTCCAGTGAAACTCGTCTGGTCCCTGAGTGGACAGTCCCAGTCTCTGATCACATTGCAGGTATTACTTTGTACGCAATCTCTTATGAATCTGATTAGGTTTATTTTGACCTGGAAATGAGAGACAAATACATAAACTACTTCCTCTGCCACTTTGACATTGTTCTAGCCATTTTAGGAACATGTTCCGAGCATTCCTGTTACGCATATCAAGAGATCTGGAAAAGAATTTTGTCAAAAACAGGGAATATAATTCTGAGGTTAAAGAGTTAAGAAGCACCAACCTGTCCCAAGAACCCACCTTTTGCTGCAGAGCAATAATCTGCTGTGCTCTCCCTCGCCAGTTGCTGGTCTCGTTCAGAAGAGATTGGATGTTCACATTCTCCCCAATTTCCTGACTCAAGACCTGTGGAACAACAAAAACAAGAATCCTAAAACCCCAACTGTTATTAGGTACCAGAAACTAAATTTTCAAACTAGCTGTATGCCAAATTTATCTGTTCCATTTGAAAGGCCTATGTCCACTGAGCATTTTGGTACCATTCTTTAACCTCTCCGTCAATTTTCAAGAAAATTGTAGTTGTTTAATATTTGATCAAATTTGTTAAAGTCAGTCATTGGCTGCAACCCCATGTTTGACAGACAATAAAAAAAGTACCAAGTGCACTAAACATCTCAACATTAACAGAGTACAATCACTATAACAAATATATGGAGCCTAATTTTTTTCAAGACTGTGAGATCTTTACAAATCAGTATTTTATCGCCTCAAACACGATGATCTGTCGTTATTTCGACAAAAACACCGAGCGTTGACCCGGCGGCACCACACCGACCCCCGCGGCGAGCGAGTCGGCTCTATACTGTAGTGTACCCCGCGTGCGGGGTCACATGCTTTCCGAGTCTCGCGGAAGGATTGATGAAAAATAATTCCAAATTAATAACTTTATTCTAATAGAAAATAAACTGATCTTTTAATTGATACCAGTTATATATATATATATATAAGTCGGTATTATACATATTTTGTGTAAAAAGGGATCTTTAAACATTTTGACGGTATTTTTAAAAGCTTTCTATAAAGACGCCAAAGGCTAAACTTATATTACGGGAAAGCCCGTTTAAAGCTCTGCAGTTCTCCGCCAATGAAAAGACGGTATTAAATCATCCCTCGTTCCGCGAAGCATTTGAATGCACGCGTGTCAATTTTTCCACCGGCCGACAACACATTCCGACCGCGAGGGGCTTCGCTTTCGTTGGCGATTCTCCAGCTCCTAATAATCGGACATATAAACAACTTACACCATTGTAACGAGGAAAAGCTGAACTTTTACAAGGTGTACGGCATTTGGTGTTTTATAGCGAAGGAGCAAAGAAACGGCGATCGGAATTACCCCGATTTTACCGATACCACGCGGTCGGAAGGCCGCGAGTGCCCGCGAGGCCGTGTTTACGCTACCTACTGTTATGGTGCATCCTGTCTTATGGATACCATAAATTGAGAAACAGTAATTTTCATAAAATTCAAAATTTTGGGCTTAGTACATCTAAACACCTGATGATTGGCTACTTGCGGTGGCGTCGGTGGCCTAGTGGTTAGGCTCTCGGACTCGCAACCATAAGGTCGTGGGTTCGAATCCCGTCAAGGGCCCGACGTTGTGTCCTTGGGAAAGGCACTTTACACGAATTTTCCTCACTTCACCCAGGTGGGAATGGGTACCCGGCTATAGACAGCGAAAGATCTTGTCAGTTTGTTAGTGTTTGAGCGCTTAATCGGCTGCTCGCACTGTATGCTTCCCGGGAAGCTGAGAATAATTCGGAGTGTTCTATGGTCTGCTGGGGTAATAATATAGTGTAAAGCGCATAGAGCCTGCTGTTGAGCGGGGATATGCGCTATACAAATGCTATCTATTATTTATTATTATTAATTGTTAGGGAAGTAAGAAGTATTGCCCTATGGTCCAGAAATATCAATATTTGCTACCTTTTGTGCGACTTTCAGCTCTTGTCTTAATTGTTGGCACTGGTTGCGAAAGTCTGTCAAGCGACATTCTGACTGCTTCAACTTGTCCTGGAGTGCCTTCACATCCACGCCATCATCATCTTTTGAGTCGAGCTGAGACCTCAGGCTGATCATAGAGCCCATGACAGAAGACTGCTCTGATGGCGGGGGAGCAGACTGGAGCTGATAGGGAGTAGGGGGGGGGAGAGAGAGAGAGAGAGAGAGAGAGAGAGAGAGAGAGAGAGAGAGAGAGAGAGGGGGGGGGGGGGGGAGATAAGAGAAATCAGATGAGTCAGAAACTTGGAAGTGAGGAAAGGAAATGTTTCTGTTAGTCTGTTTGTTGTTTGGTTGACTTAAAGACAGCCATGTCAACACAGTGACATCAATGTGTGGAAGTACACTGTTTACAAATTTGACCTCACTGATCTCCCATAACATGTGAGGCAACAGTTCTTACATCTATCAGACTCCCTCCCTCACAAACATTTGGAGCCAGGCACGAGTGAATTTTCGGACACGAAAAGTTATGAATCTCTTCTTAAACAATCATGTGTAGTGAAAATATTTCAATTTCTATTCAAGATAGATGAGTATTTTTTTTTTCGTCAAAAGCAAGACAAATGAAAAACTCTATATGCACAAAAATTGATGAGCGCCAGATTTCCAACTTGTCATGACAAGAAGTGTGGTTATCTTTTCACATTTCATACAACTTTGTTTGTTATAAAAAAGAAATACAAGGCATGCTTTTAGTGAAATCTCAAGATAACCCTCCACACCATCAGACAAGTTTTCTTAGAGCAAGAACAATATGTCTATTGCTACCTGCATTTGTAGATCATGGCACTTTTTTTGGAACTGTCGACATCTTGTTTTTTCAGCTTCTTTCTCTGAGGTGAGTTCCCGGACTTTCTTACTCAGTTCGATGATTTTTGTGGCTGCCGTCTCATTTGTCACTTGTCCATCTGGGAAAAAATGGGAACAACTGATAGCCAACAAATATGAGTAGCTTTAGACAAGAAAGAAAAATACAGTAACTATAGTTCCTTTGGGACATTTGAGGTCTAGCGGCAATCCATTCCACATTAGAATCCTACAGAAATGATGAGCTTTCAACATACTTTTGATATTTAATTTAAACTACCGAAGTCTTTTACATAATTTCTCCCGTATTTTTAACTAAAAGAGAGTAAATAAAACTAGGACATATTTTACATTTATAGTATGGTCAAAACTTCATAAAAGCATTACGCCTCGGGGCGGTGCCACTGACTGAAATGTCTTTAGGCCATTCCCAAAGAGGGGATATTTCTCGTTCTAAAGCACATTAGAATTGTAAATGGGCTGATCCAACAATGTCATGCACATAACTGTGCCTGAACTACAACAGGGAACTGCTACTTTTTATTTCCTAATCCTTACTATCGCCATTTTCCTCTACTTCTTTTGTATGTTTGTCACACTCGTGTGATCTCTTATTTCAGGGGTGCCTTGATAGACCAAGCAGACTTTGTGCTGTTGAAGCCAGAGAAGTGAGCAGAGTAAGTCTCATTCCCTGTAAGTACATCTCTGTTGACATCCACCCCTTGGCGCTCATATGACCTTATGCAGTTGCGAGCGCCGTAAAACCTCTACTAAAACAAACAAAACAAAAGCATTTAATTTCTTACAAGTTAACTTAATAAGACAAACAGAAGAAACAGAATATTTATAAACTCACCAATAACAGAGCCAGTATTATTCTTGTTTTCCTCACTTTTCTTTTTCCACTGACGAACTTCAAAGTCTTTCTCATTCAAAAGTTTATACAATCGCCCATTTTCATCTTTCATTTGCTGCAAGAATGAGAAAAAGAAGTTTTCTCATAAAAATTTCTCCAAATGTCTTTGATCAGAGATGTGAGAATGTATTTTAAACCTAATTACATGGACCATCAAGAAATTTAAGTTCTATTTTACAATTACATATACAATTAAATTGTTTCAGCAGCATAGGTAAATCTGACTTGCAAAATTCATACATATATATATATATATTCATACATATATATATATATATATATATATATATATATATATATATATATATATCTATATATATATATATATATATATATATATATATATATATATATATATCTATCTATCTATATCTATATCTATCTATCTATCTATCTATCTATCTATCTATATATAAAGAACACTGAATAAATTGATGAATAAATGCCGATTCCATGACAGGATGAACAACCATAAGGGCTGAAGTTTAGAAACTACTATACTAGTAATCACAATTTCTTGTACAAACAGACATAAACACTTACATACACACACACACGCATACATGCACACACACACACACACACATAGAATAAAGCATAACACTCTCCAGAAAATAAAGCACAGCTGTGTGGCTTTTAAGACTTACCCTGATTTGATCATTCAAGTGATCCACAAGCTCCTCGGAGACATAACCAAATCCTTTCTGTGACGGGTCTGCCAACTAAAAAAGAGAAAAAACTTACACATAATATTTTGTTCAATTAACTTTTTGTTTTATATATATCTAAGCAAGCCCAACTCAAATCAATAGAACTGTAAGCTACAAGAGTACCAAACAAATGTTCATGTAAATATTTACACAACTGGTATACATTGCATTGTTATCCTTTTTTAAAATGTTCAAATATGCATCACGATACGGTGGAATCAGGCTCTCGTCAATTTTTTGCCCTGTAGAGTTATTGGTATCATTCTAAAACTTGTTTATTTGTCTTGCTTTTGATGACAAAAAATCCATTTATCTCGAATACAAGACGAGATATTTGCGAATGAAGGAGGTGGGGATCACCTGGTTTGAGGTAAAATTAGTGAGAAAACAGCTGCCAAAGACTATAATTAGTTATAATTTTCTAAGCTTGAGAACCCGAGGAAACTGAAAATTTACATTTTTGTGCCTCTAATCAACGTTTTTCAGTAAAAATCAACACAGAAATGTGTTCTATAAAGGGCATGAATGGTGTTGAGCCAAAAAACGAAAATTCAATCATTAAAAAATCCTTAAACCTGCGGAAAAATGCTAGTTTCTTCACTTTGATTACTTTGACAAGCGCCTGATTTCACAAGGCTGCCTCACATATGTGAATAGATGATTTGAGAATCTGAATACAGAATGAATATAACAAAGGAAAGGAATAGTTAAATAAATGCAAACATTATCAGTGCCGGTTATTTGAAGATTAGATGTGATATTCCCACTTTGATTTTTAGTATCTTGTAAGTATCTCACCTTTAGATCTAAGTCATCACTGACACCAAATTTTCCGGACACATCTTCTTTTGCCTGGGATTGCTTTTTATTGTTTGCCTGTTCCTTTTTCTTTCTTCTCTCTAATAGTTTCTGCTGCTGTTGTAACTGCAGCTCTTGCAATTGCTGCTTCAGGTCTGTGTCTTGGGCTGCCATTTATGGATTCCCTGTGATTATGACCAGCAGGAAAGAAAGATATTAGTTTGCAAACTACCAATAGAAAAGGCAAGACAAAATCAACATACTTCATTTTCCATACGCAGCAATCATTGTTGTTCACACAAAGCACACAATTTCACGAAGATAGATTGAGCACATACTCTGTTCTTAGCTCACTTCAAATTCTGGACCACAGCAAGACAAACCATTTACAGTTAGAATTATGGAAAGTAATGAGAGATCTAAACATTTGAATTATAACATTATGACCACTGAACTCCCTGAAAATGGCTGATAACACAATATTAAAAAAACTCACTCATCCCAGACCCAGAGATAGTCGGGTTGTCCACTTCTGCGCTGGGCCCTGAACCCGACAGTACCGGGATGGAAATTTCTACTGCTTTATAACTTAAACACACATACAATGAGAATTAAGAGACTCTACTCGATATACGTGTCCCTTGGCCATTTGTTCATAATGAGGAGCTACAAATACAATGGCAAAAGTCGCTTGCTAGACCAACAACTGAAAATAACTTAGCATGTGGTAACGAAGTGGGAAAGTTGAAAGAATTTTGTTCTTTCTGCTGAGCTACTTTTTAACGCCTGTCGTTGACATTTTTCAAAAGGCAATATCTACAACTATCAAATATTTTCAGAATCTGTAACAGCAGACCATATAATAACTAAACAAATTATGTGTGAAATACTACAGCAATTGGAGTTGATTTCGAATTTTTTCCAGATTTTACAGAAACGGTTTGTAGAGGTACAGCCCGTAGACCGTGTCCTTGGCCACAAGACCGAGTGAGTTAAGATTTTTTATGAACCTGCACTAAAATGAAAACAAGACTATGTCAGATTCAGGCGAAGTTTGGGTTTCATTTTTCCATTTTTTATGCATGCAGGGCAGATCCCAAGAAAGATCTTAAAAAAAACATGAATTAAAAAATCGAGTTATACGGTTGTAAAAAATGTGGCCAGCTCTTTTCGGACGCAAATCCGATTAGATTTTTTATCTATTTGGACTCGAGTCCGAATATGGATTTTATCTATTCAGACTCGGGTCGAAAAAAAAAATGTTTTATTTATTCGGACTCTGCTTCTAAGTGAGTTATGTGAGTGAAAGGAGGTTACACAATATAACTGTCGTCGGGGGGTTCTATGTAAAACCAGAATTAGAACTAGAGATATACCTACTCATGACTGTGTACTGTAAATTGGTAATATTGTGTCAAAAATCAAAGACTGCACTCTCATTGCTCAATGGCAGTGTCTATAAGTACTCGGTAACCGACAACTCATGAGGGTCTTTCCACCAACATCATCATTACTTCCACCACCATTTGTCTTTCCAGGTGTTTAATTTCTCTGTAATTAATTTTTTTTCAAAAATCACATCGCACAAAATTGACAGCCATGGCACTTCTTCCAGAAAGCTGAGAGTGCGATATCGCTACGCGCAAGCTCATTGGTCGACATAATTATATTATAACTTTGACGTTGCCCGCAGCAAGGTCAACTAAACAATTGGTTGTTCAGTGCATACTAGCCTAAAGATGCAAGGCAGTTTAGATAGATCTAGATCTAGTAACAGGATATTAAAGCTCACATCTCGATTGCTATCACCCGAAAAAATTTTCATCATAAATGTTGGAAATGTTTATACAGGGTCGGAATTAATGGGAAGCGACGTATGCTGGACTGAATTCAGAGTCAGAATAATTTTAGCCGAATCGGATTCAAGTCCGAATATAGATCTAGATCTAAATCTATACTAGATCTAGATCTAGATCTGGTCTACTAAAAACAAAACAGAAAATTTACAAAAAACCCCCACTGCAAGCTGTAGATCTAGAATCTAGATTAGATTTAGAGTAGAATAGAAGAAACCTATCACCCCACAAGATAAAAGTGAAGAGGTCATATCAATCAATTGAGCTGAACTTGAAACTATTGCTAGATATATATCTAGATATCTAGATCTAGATAATCTAGTGTCAGTCGTCATTCTTCTGGTCGGTCTTTCAACTCTTTGTCTTTGATATCTCTTTCGCTTTCTTCTACTACACTACACGCTAGTCACTGTCTCGAAAGCGAGTCTACCTTCGATGCTTCTAAATCTAATTAAATTTGACAACTTGACAAAACAAATAAACAGCATATATTCAATATCTTACCGTTGAAGATGTACGTGTCTGTTCTGATGATTCCAAAATGTTAAAATTTCAAGTCAAGAACACAATAAATGATAAAAAGGAATACATCATCACACCACAGAAAGAGCCTGGGCTTCTGTAGCAACGAAAGGCATTTCCGAATGAATTTCTAGAATCGAGGTGAAGAATATGCGACCAGTGATTGGTTGAAAACAAAATGAAAACCGTCGTCTACTCGTACATTTTACAATTCTCTAATTTCATGTCTCAATAATGTTGAAAAAAAAGAGTTTAAGGCAATTACTGTAATTTCAAAGCCTAAAAACATGCCTCTGTATTTTTTTCTTTTTTGTTCATCTAAACTGAAGTTGGATAGGCAAATTGAACAGCATCGTAATAAATGGAGACCTCGCTCATGTGGTTATTTTAATAATAATAAGTTTTTCTTTCTCAGGCTTGCTACAACACATTCTTCCAACAAAGTTATTTCCTTGGAAGGAGCTGCCCATTTAGTGGCAATGAATTTCACGGTTAAGTACCGTTTCAGTAAACAAAGCTAACAGGTTTTACTGGCAGTAAAGCAAATCTTCATAATTTGATGTTTGAAAAAATCCAAACATTAATTAAAATTCGGGCCCATAGCCCCCCCC